CCCTACAGATGGTTGATCATCATTCCAGGTTGAAGGCGAGAGAGCAGCTCTTGACAGCTCTGCTCCCTTTGCACCACCGCCATACGTGTGTGACCAGGATGGGAAGAACCACCCCCAGGGACCCCCTGTGTCGTTCTTACTTTCTCTGTTTTATGAAGAGCTCAAGAATTAACTGAGGTGAAGAGCAAGGAGAGGAACCCTGGGAGACATCCATAGCAGATGAGAAAATTTGCACTGATGCTTACCCAGGAATTAAAAGTTTTGATGATTATTTCACCATGACAGTGAAATATGGTGCTCACAGACATCTTCCCATTTTTCTTGAGGTCTTCACTGCAGCTGGATTGGGAAGCTATGGCGATGGTACACCGCTTCCCAGTGAGCTAGAGAGAATGGCTCTGCACTGATGGATAAGGAGAGCAACAAGACATTCAGGGACAGTGCAGGAACCCCCCACTCCCTCCTCTGCCCAGGCTGCTGAGGGGTGGACAAGCATCTCTTCTGCCAGGCAGAGCAGAGACCTAACCCACTGCAAGATCCACTTGGCCAAACCCAGATACTCTGTGACCCTCACTAACCAGCCGACTGCCCCACTGAGATGTTCAAGCACCCAGCCGTCCTGCCGTTGACTACCAGGAGACCCAAGGAATTTTGACTGGCAGCAGGAACTGGGGTTCTTGCAAAAACAGGCAGGTGGGTTTTGTCTGACCTCTGCTCCCTCGTGGAGACCGTGTCCAAGCAAAGCATCTTCCCCATTCTCCACCATGGGAAAACTCCCTCCAGTGGCATTTCCTTCTGTCCATCAAAATATTCTTTCCGAGGGATTTTTGCCCAGGCCTTGAAGCCCCAACAGAAATGTCAACTCCAGGAGAAAGAAAACGACCTTCAGCGTACCTGCGAGAAAGATGAGCTCCACGGGCAGCTCAGAGCCTTTATCCCTGCGCACAGACCCTCGGAGGTGGCAGAGCAAACCCCCCCTCGCCCCTGCTCAGTGCGATGGCTGGTGCCAGTGCCGAGGTAATGCCGGTCGCTGGTTCCTTCCCGCCTACAGCCAAGCAGGGTGTTCCTAGCGAGGTCAGAGTCATCCCCCAGGTCCTCTGCAAGAGGGCAGGGAGAAAGCGCGAGAAATTCCCTGCCAGCTTCAGCCCCACTGACAGCTGCCATGGGGTCAAAGTGAGAGGCTCTGGAGTGATGGAGAGACCCAAACGAGCTCCTTGGCATCCAGGAGTGCATCCCACCTGGTCCCGGGGGCTGGCTATGTCCTGTTTGCATAAGTGATCCCCATTTCACCCCTAAATCTTCCCTTTCTGTGCATAAAGCTTCACTCCCTCAGTGTCTTTCTTTTTGCTTAGATGTGGTGGTGTAGAGCAGCACTCCCCAAACTCTTCGGATCACACGCCCTTATCAGGGAAAAACTGCTGAGCGTGCACCCCAATACATCTATGTTTATTCATAAATCACATACATGTACATTACAAAACACACACAGTGACAGAAATTTTAAAAGGACAAGATAAAGTTGAAATAAACACTAGCTTTAAAATATCTTTCTCTTTTACTTTATTTATTAATGGTACCAAAAATACTTTCTTCCTGCACCCCAATGAATTGCCTTGTGCTCCACTGGGGTGCATGCACCCCACTTTGGAGACCACTGCTCTAGAGAAAGCACTGATCTTCCCTGACAGATGAGCCTGGTAAGAGGGATGCATGTTTCTTTTAGCCCTAGTGATGTCGCTGCTCTTTACGACAAGCTCTGTTGGTCCATGTCGTGGTGTGGTCTCGCCCATCAGGGGCACGAGCTGAGCACAGACAACACTCAGGACTTGTGCTGCCTGCCCTTTCCTTGCCTCAGGAGTTCTGCATTCTCCTCCCCCGCCGGTTGCCCCCAGAGGTGCACACCTGGCCAAATACTAAAGCAGCTGTGGCTGGCAGGAGCAATTGTGAAATCACAGGTTGCCCTGTCAGCAGGGAGAGCAGAGGGATGGGAGATTGCTCTGGCTCACCCTGCCCTGGGAACTGTAGGTGGGAAGGGATGTGAATTTCCTGTTTTATTTCCAAAGGAGGCTGCTGATTTTGCAGATGTCCTAAAAACTGGGTTCCCCAATTGGCCCTGCTTTGTCCATGTGCTCTGGGAAGACGTGTTGCATCCTCACCTGAGTGGGATAAGGTACGTTGGGTTCCTACTAGGAAATCCTTGGCTCCATCAGGGATGAGGATATTTCCAATCACAAGAAACCATTTCCCATGATTTCTGCTAAGTAGGAGTCTCACAGAGTTTTACTTGTAAAGAAATCCCAACCCAGCATTCGGCTGAGGTCTGAGGAGATGTGTTTCGCTGTGCCTGTAGGCATATCTTCTTGCACACACTGAGCTGTGGTCACAGCATCCTTTCACATCCCTTTATCTACCACCACCAGGTAGCACCTTCCCAGCTCCGTGTGCGGCTGAGAGTCTCTAAACCCTTCCTGAAGGCATGTCGTGGACCCGATTAATCTGCTCTCTCACCCACACTCCTGCCTTATTGCCAACATTTCGCATGTGGAAGCAGCTCTCTATTCCCAGGATTAACTTTGACTCCTGAAACTACAAAAACCAATCTCCTGGCAATGGTTTTCCTACTTACACATATTTTATTGTATTGAGGGAAAGACATCCGACTCTGCAGTGTCTGCAAGTCCAGCCCAGACAAGATTATCCCCCATGTAAGAAGAGATGCAAACAGTCAAGCATTACTGCTGTGCTTTGCTTGGTGTTTCACCTCAGAAAGGGCTCTGCTTAGGAATAAAAGCTCTTTCCAGAAACCCTTACAAAGCCTTGGCGTGAATAAATCAGCAAAAACCCGTAAGGCTTACCAAGGACATTATCACACCAAAGGCAGAGTGTGGTCAGCCAGTACAGCTTCTCTATCTGGGCAATACCTATTTGTTTGGAAAAACGTTCCCAGAATGACTTACTAGGAGAACTCCCACGGCAATTAGCAATTAGCAATTTTACAAAATCCCCTTCTAGTCTGTTCAGGTCTCCAGAGGACGTTGTGCCATCCTTCTGCCACTGGTCCAAAGACCTCTGCAGTGCTCCACACTGCAGGACGGTACCTGGCTGCTCCGGGGTGAGGCACAGCTCGCCTGCCCGGGGCCATGCCTGGTGAGCTGGGCTTTCTGGAGCTGGAAGTGCGAGTTCCAGCCAGCTGTGCTGGGAGCTTTCAGACACAAAGAGAGATGATGCTTGAAGGAGGTACCCAGCCCCCGGGTGCCTGCCAGGCAATAACATATCTGAGCATTGGGTGTGTTGGTGAGGGAGGGCAAGGAGCTGCTGGCTGTGCTACCACCAGCACCATGCAACACTGCCGGACCGTGTGTTGGGTCACCGAGAGCAGCATCCCTGCCGTGTGGAGGGTGGGATGCCTGCGGCCTGTGGGATGTCAGCGGCCATGCCTGCACCCTTGGTAGACATCTGTAACACTCCCCTGCGCAGGGCTTTCCTGATGGACGCTTTGATCCCGCTGTTCCTCAAGCTGTAGATGATGGGGTTGAGCATGGGGGTCACAGCGGCGTAGAGCAGGGCCAGGACCTCGTCCATCTCCTTGGCACGGTTGGAGTGAGGCATCAGGTATGCAATGGCCCCGGCACCAAAGAACAGGGACACCACGGTCAGGTGGGAGGCGCAGGTGGCAAAGGCTCTCTGCATCCCTGCTCCCTTCTGGAGGACAGCCCCAATGATGTGAACGTACGACACGAGAGTCAGGAGGAAGGATCCCATTGCAATAGTCCAAGCCAGAGCATACAAGATGACCTTGTTGAGGGGAGCGTTAGGGCTGCAGGATGCCCTCAGCAAGAAGGGTATCTCACAGAACAAGTGGTTGATCATGTTGGACCCACAGAAGGGCAAGCAGGCTGTGAGGAAGGCCTGTATCAGAGACGAGAAGGAGCCGCTCAGCCATGAAATGGCCACTAAGCAGTGGCACATCTTCCTGCTCATGAGCGCTGGGTAGTGGAGGGGGTGGCAGATGGCCAGGTAGCGATCACAGGCCATGGCAGCCAGGAGAATGCACTCAGAGGCCCCAAAGCAAAGGAAGAAGTAGATCTGCATGATGCAGCCCACAAAGGAGATGGTCTTCTGTGGCGAGAAGGAGTCTCTGAGGATCTTGGGGAGGGTGACGGAAGAGTAGCAGATGTCCAGGAAGGAGAGGTGGCCCAGGAAGAAATACATGGGGGAGTGCAGGTGGGAGTCCAGCCAGACAAGGGTCATGATGAGCAGGTTCCCCAGCACTGTCACCAGGTAAATGAGTGAGAGACACAAGCAGAGGGTCACCTGTGCTCTGTAGGCACTGGGAAACCCCAAGAGAAGGAACATGGTGGGGCTGCTGAGATTTCCCCGCTTCAGGGACTCGGGGGTCATCTACAGGGAGAGCAGGAGGAGATAAGGACAGGGAAGGGGGCAAGTGCTCACCCCTGCTATGGGGCATCACCAGCCCCTTGTTCTGCTGCTTGGTGGGCTGAAGATGTGCCACTGCCCCTGGCACTCTGCACGCCTCACTCCAGGAGCTCACGGGGGGATACCTCGGTGGGGGCAGATGGCAAGTCTCAGCCTACGGGGTTTTGATCCTCAAGACAACGCCCAGCCTGAAGGGCACCAGGGGGAGCTGGGGCCTCAGCACTGCCGTCAGTAAGGATCTCAGGGACTGTTAGATGAGAGTAGTTGAGAGCAGCTCCTCTGCCCGCTCCACATTTCCTGGGATGGAACTGGAGCATGGTCTCAAGATCCCACAAAGTGTGGCAGGTTGGACCCTGCCCTGTTGAACAGTTGCTGCTCTTCATGGAAGCAAATTGTGTTTACAGCATTAGTGAAAGGACGGAAAGATTCCTGCCTCCCCTCTCCATCACAGACTGGGAGCAGTCTCAAAAAAAGAGAATTGTTAGAAGTTACATAGGCGTTTGCTTGCAAATACTACACTGTAGGTGTTAGCCTCATGCTCACACCTCGACAGTGATGTAAGGGAGGGACCTCTGAGAGTTCACAGGAGCACCAGACAGGCATCTGAAGGGGATGGTGTGATTCAAGCAGGCTTGAGGATGGCAAGGAAAAGCAGAGCCACGAGCCTTCAGGAAAAAGGAGAGCTTCTGAATCTAATGAGAAACTACAGCCCAGTGATAAAAGAAGATGACCCACAGAAGATCTTGAGTGTGAACCTGAAACTACCGAACGCTCAAGGGGAGCAGTAAGGAGATGATCAGAGATTCGTGAGAGCCTGCAATAAGCTGTTAGTGCTGACAGAGCGTCACCTGGTCCTTCCAGGGAGAAGTGTGGGAGCATCTGCCAGGGGTGAAGAGAAGGCAAGTGCCAGGCTGAGAAGATTTGAGCACCCTCAAATGACATGGCAGGCTCCTTCTGGGAAGGAACAAGAATATACCCCCGATGCTGGGGATGGGCTCCACAACGCGGAGGTTCGGGGATGGGCTGTGGGTTGGTCCTGGTGCCCAGCAGTCGGGGTTGGAGCGTGAGCAGGGAGGGAGGGGGGAGCAGCCAGCCCCAGGCTCAGTGCCACGGGAAGGGCTGGGGTCCTTGAGCAGCTGGGACCCTCATGGATACCCTCCTCCTCCAGCACAGCAGCAGGAGGGGAGAAGCCTTCAGGGATGTGATGCCAGGCTTTGAACCACGAAGGGAATGGTGGTCGAAGGAGAGGCATGTACTTTCCGTGCTGGCTTGGAATGTGCTGGAAGGGTAGGAGCTGGGAAACCACAGAGGGATAAGAAGCACCTGTACGGATAAAAGCAGCTGGGAAAGCTGTGTGGGCAGCAAAAGGCTGGTGTCTCCTCTGGCTCAGGAGGAGCAGATGGTCCATAAGAAGTAACGCCAACAATTGTGGCCTCGTGCAAAGCTGGAGGAACTCAGGTTACTGCGTGGAGTCACCCGATGTTTCCAGAGGTCAGAGAAAGAGCTGGTGTGACCAGAGCAGAGGCAATGAAGGTCACAAGAGGAGAGGGCAAGAAAGGGAGGCGAGCAGGACAAGTAGCACTGCACAAGAGGCTGACAGGCACCATCAAAAGATCTTCCTAGATCTAAATTGCCTTGGGAAGGAGATCTGCCCAGACAGTGCTGGAAGCCTGCTGCAGATCTCCCAGCTGGACTGGGGTGAGGACAAAGCCCCAGGAGAAAAATTCTTTCAGGACAATTAACTCTTTGGAGGGGAGAAGAGTTATAAATCACAGCTTTGTCAGTAATGGTCATTGCAGATATCCTTGGATATGACATCTCACATATCTCTTCACCAGGTCACAGCATGAAGTGAGCTGATGGTTTTTTTGAACCTTTTCCTGAAAAATAGGCTGTTTTTAGAAGAGCTATCTGAGAAAATAATTTCAGCTAGAGTAGGCATGAGTCAATGCCGTTTTGCGTAAATGGGAAGATCAATAGCAGCAGATTGGTGGCTGTGAACAAGAACGAATCAGAACAAGTGAGGAGAGCTGGTTCCTGCAGCTGGGCAGATTTTGGAAGTCAAACATGCAGACACAGAAAAGAACTGGGATTTCATGAAATCAAAAGTGCAAAATCCAGCTAAAAATTCCCTCTCAAGCCAAGGGAAAGGGTGGTGGAGCAGGGCTTCTCCCGCAGCAAGTGAGCAACTTGTATACACTGAGGAGGGTATTTGAAAAGAGTGGAAAGTCTGCAGGGAAAGAAAAAAGCCTGGAAAGGGGTAAGAAAACCCTGCAGTGAATGATGAAGTGCAGGGAGACAGTGAAAATTGTTTTCAGTGTTACAACAATCGCCCTTCAGCCATGGAGTCGAAGGACAGGCAGCCCTGCAGTGCGTCTCAGTTCAGTGCCCCTGATGTCAGACATTGCCCACCCCCAGTTTTCCAGGAGGACAACAACAATTTATGGCAAAGGTAGGGTGGCTGGTGAGAACATGAGGGCACGGGGACAGCAGCATCAAGGAGGGAGGAGGGTCTTCCACGACCTGCTGCATGTCAGCGGGGCTGCAGGAAGGGAGCGTGGCTGCACCTGGATTCAGGAAGAATGAATGCTCCTTCTCCTGCAGCGAGGGCGCAAAGCATTGTCGTGATGGGGGCTATGCCCGATGGGAGGAAAGGAATCCAGTACGAGGCATGTGCAAGGGGAAAGAAAAAGAAAGAAAACTAGGTGGGCACAGGAGTTCTGGGACTACGGAGCAATCCGCCTGCCTACAGGGTCCTCGGCTGGAGACCCAGTGGTCTGGTCAGCCCAGGGTAGTCATGAGTGCGGCACAGGATGCCAAACTGGCTATGAGGACAGCGGAAAGGTTTCCAGTCCATGTGGGAAAATACTGATGTCGTGGTACATTAGTGAGACTTGCTGGGTGGTGCACAGTAAGCAGGGAGCCAACTAGAGAAGAAGGAGGCTGAGTGGGCTGCCAGGATGCCTGGAGAGGGGAGTGTCAGTCAGAGAGAGCAGGGCATGACGTGGTCAGCCAAGAGAAGCCAAAGAGAGATGACTGCAGCGTTGGGGAGCAGAGCCCTGGACTTGAGCATGCTTCTGTGGGTAACCCTGGCACAGGCAAGCCTGCAAGAGCTAGCAGCTTAAACCCAGTTTCAAAACTGACTTTGACCCAGGAATCATCTCCTTAGATCTAACACACCAGGGGTTGGACAAGGAGACAAAATTTCACACAGTGCCTTCTCAGGAGGTTTGGGGCCAAAGGCAGGATGGTTTTTTGTTCCTAAATCTCTTTGTCACCACTGAAAACTTTTCCTTTACCTAAAATAAACCTGTTCTAAGTAGGTGTCCACAGAACCTTTGCATTGGTTTAATGAAGCAGAGGTGGAAAACTACACGCTTGGTTCACCTGGAAGACAACACAAAGACAAACCCGGCATGAGACCCCTGGGGAGGGCACCCACCCCCATCTCCCTCCCTGTGCCCTGTGGCCTCCCCAGAACTAGGGGCATTCCCAGGATCTGGTGTGCCAGGGCATCACCACAGCCTGGGCTACCAGAAAACCAGCTTGGCATCTCTGGAACCAGTTGCCTGAGTGGGAGGTAGTGGGGGCAGGAGGGATGAGGCACAGCTGACCATAAGTCCCCCCAGCAGTGCCCTCCACCCTGTGAGTCAGCAAGGGAGGAGACATCAAAGGTGGGGTATGACAGGGAAGCATGTGGCACCTTCATTTCATTTTCCAATAACTGTAGGGGTTTGCAATTAAATCTGCTGATCTGATTAGCTGGGTGATCAGACAGTCATTGGAAATTACTGTTTGCCTTCCTGCTATTTAAATTGCATTTGATTTGCAATCAAAGCTAGCATGAGACAAGTGAGCTGGAGGTAGACGTGGGAGCAGCCAACGGGCGCTGCTCTGTGCAAAGCACAAGCCAACAGCACAGTCTCGCTGTGTTGGTAGAGCTGTGTCCCAGGAAGACTGGGGACACTGGTGGGAAGCAGGCTGTGGCCCAGGTGAACAAGGGTCACGTCTGCAGCTGGGTAGAGCGGTGTTTGCAGTAGGGGCAGGGCTTGTGCCCTGCTGTGAACTTTAGACGTACCAAGTAGCCAGGTACTCATCTGGCTGCGGGGCCATGGGTAGGACTGCAAGAACACCCACATCTGCTGGTTATGGGAGAGGGAGCAGGACAGACCTGGCCTTGCAGGACCCCAGCATGGGGCTGACTCCTTTCCTCCTTGGTCCTACAGTTGTCCTGCCCTCAAGCACTCACCCAGCACAGACATCGGGGACACTGGTGACCCAGCACCTGCACAGCTTACCTTGAGAAGGTGCTTTCTCTCTTCACACGAAGTGTGTCTGGCAGCACCAGCAGTTTGGGACACCAGGGTCATTTCAATATATTCCTGGGAGGCACCTGGGAAAAGATCCCCTATTACAGCACAGTCCATAATTGCTCCACACAGTCCTTCAGGCACGGTGCTTTGGGATGCTGTGCGAGCAGGGAAGCACACTGCCAGGGAATACAGTGTGCTGAGTCCTGTGCACAGTGTCCAACTGTGGACATCCTCTGAGGGGTGCTCCAGCAGCATCCCCATGAAAAGGGCCCCAGACCTCGAGGGGCCAGGACTGGAGAGCAAGACTGAAGTTGTCTTTGAACCTCTTGGCAGCTAGAGATGCTCAGAGAGGTGTTCCTGTGGTGGAGATGGAGTAGCTTGGTGGGCTCTGCAGCCAAAGTGGCTCAGAGACATCCTTAAGCAAGAGCTTGAGTCCAGGAATATGTCAGAGTTTAACTCTTCAGTCTGTGCTTTCCTTTTCTTGCTTGTTTTCCCCACTTCTGTGGCCAAGAATGTACCTCCTGGCATTGCTAGATAACCTTGGTTTCTTGTAGAGCAGCTCTTCTAGATTTATAGGGACTAAAGGGCTGTAGCAAGTGTAAGGTATGTCGCTTCTCTGAACCACTGCTCAGAGACCTTCCACATCTGAGAAATCTGGGAGTATGGAAGGGAATTTTCCCCCCGGATGCACCAACCTTTACAGGTCACTGTGGGGCCTGAGACCATCCACATCTTTGGGGAGGGGAGAGCGATAGGGATGCTGGCCAGAAACAGGAGCAACTCTCCCTGATGCGGCACTTCTCCCTGCCCCTCTGACTCAGACCCTCTTCCCACTTCCAGCATGCACAAGTGTGTTTTGGAGCCTAAGGTCTCCTTCTAGCTCACCATATCATCCTCGGCCTGTTCCTGCTTTGCCTGCATGTGTCTGGCAGCACATGGGCCGGGGTGGAGGGCTGAGAGCACACGGGTTTGGAGTGGGCATCTTCCCTGGCATTGGCCAGGTGGTCAAGAACAAATAAATAATTCCTGTGGGCATTTGGTGCTCAGCTGACTGTGCAGCTGGGTTCCTCAATATCAGTCCCATTTATATATCTCCATGGCCTGGGGTCCCACAGGGGAATTTTGGTTAGAAGGTACTTCAGAGGTCTCTGGTCCTGCTTATCGTCAGAGCAGGACCGCTGCCCACCTCAGTTTGGATACCTACAAGGATGAGGAGGTACTCAGCCGCATCGCTGGACACCTGCGTGGGGGCAGGACCTCCTTCATGATGAAGAACTTCCTCCTTTTGTCCTACTGGAATTTGTGGCGTTGCAGCTCATGCCTATTGCCCTTCACTGAGCACTCTGGGAGGAGTCTGGCTGCATCTTCTCCAGACCCTACCCTGAGGCAGCTGGAGACAGCAGCCAGATGTCTCCTTTGCCTTCCCTTCTGAAGGCTGGACCAGCCCATCTCTCTCAGCCTGTCCTCGTGCGTGCACTGATCAGCCCATCTCCCTCAGCCCACCTCTCTCCACCCCTCGCAATCCCTCCTGGTACATGCCCTGACCACCTTTGTGTCCTCCACTGGGCTCTCTGCGGTTTGTCAGGACCCCTTGTGTTCTAGGGAGACCTAAACCGGACCCAGCTCTCCCGACATGGTCTCAGAAGGGGTCCCTCGAGCTGATGGCTGCCCTTCGCAGACCCAGACCAGCGTGCACGCGGCTGCCCTAGCTGCACAGGCACTCTGCTGACCAGCGTTCGGCTGCTTGCCCTCTGGACATCCAGGGTTTTTCCTGCGACGCTGCCATCTCCCTGCAGGCCCAGTCTGCGCAGTTGCATGGTAGCCCAGCGCAGCCACAGGACCTTGCGTTTGCCGTGGCTGAACATCAGGAGGTTTGTGCTTCCCCATTCTGGGGGCTGCTGAGGCCACTCTGAATGGCAGCTCCAGCATAACAACCTGTCCCCAAAACTTTGTTGTCCCCAGGAGGCACACTGTCACTAGTACTGGACATTGCTGGCACTGATGCATGTTCACACATGTCAGGAGATGCTGACCCTGGCAGCTTGGGAAGTCCCCAGCCACATCACTTCCCACCTTCAGGCCAACAGACACCTCCCATCAGCTGTGTTGGGTCAGCCAGTCATGGAGCCAGGGCATAAAACCGTGCCCTGAGATGATCTGGGTTGAAAATAGCTTTCAACAGTGTTCAGCACCTAGGGAAGTAGGAATGTCTGAAGCCGTTGCATTTCAGGAGCTGGTGTCTCGTGAAGCCATGGCCCAAAAAGGCACCTTGCTGTCCCAGCAGCATTGAGTTTTTTCTTCACTTTTAACGGGTCTCAGTTGGTATTATTAAAAGTTTCTGAACTTCTGCAGTCTTAACTTCTGAAAAGGCTCCAGAGGGCTTGTTGTGCTGCTGCGGTGCCTGGAGACAAGACCTATATTTTCCCTTTCCCAAACCAGGGAGCAAAACCAGTGTTTATTCCTATGTGGGGCTCACACCAGCACAGAAGTGCCTTCAAGCAGTAATTGGCAATTTGGAGGTGACTCCTGACCCATGGGAGTTCAAATAATTTATGCCTGTGCTGTCAAGAGCCAATGCCCATCACCCAGCTCCCAACCAGGGGCTGTCTCTGAGGCTGGAGGGTGGGGAGAGGCTCAGCTGGGTTGGCACCTGCCAGGTCCCACATCCAGTGGCACTTGGGGAGCCCCAAGTCTCACTCAACACCATCCAAGACAGAGGGAGAAGACCTGGTCGTTGGAGTGACTCCTGCTGTGGTGACAAGCTGGTGACCGTGGTGCTGGCACCCGTCACATGCCAAGGGACACCCACAAGGCTCTAAGACATGGCTGCTCGAGGCAGATTGAATGGGCACCCATGGGTTCAGTTTTTTGGGATGGTCAGGAGCAGCAAGTGGGATCTGGCTCACAGGCTGAAATCAGAATGTAATTGTCATGGGAGCCAGTGCTACGCTTAACCAGAGACAATCCAATACAGCCACATTTTATTTTTAAAAGGGGAAAAAATGGAAAGTCAAGAGGATTAAATATCACATATGGCACAGAGATTGCCTGGAAAGACCAGCTTAGCTTCACTCTGAGCGCTTAAGCTGATATTAGCAAACACAAACCCTAAACCCTAAGCAGCTGATCAGAAAGAAGAGAAATGTTTTTAAACTTGCCGAAGCTACAGCCACACGAGGACAGTAAAATGACCCCTGGTAAGTTAACTGGCAACACAATAAGACAGACAATGAAGACACCAGAATCTGTCCCCTTGCTCCTCTACTCTGAGGAATGACATCCACACTTACATATATTCCTTTCTTAAAGGCTGCGGGAGCAGGAATTTAACACTGGAGAATGGTCAGCTGGTAGCAGTCAACGTCAGAGTGAGTATTCAAAGAAAATAAGCTGATAGAAAAACGAAGAAACTCTTCATCTGCCTTGGCTGAGGAACTTCTGTGGATCCCCAGGCTAGAGAATTTCTTCTGCAAACACTTGGAAAGGTCTGTCCTACCGATAAAAAAGTGCAAGTGAATATTAAGTTGGAGGAGATGACATTTCTAGTCAAGGCAATTCAGGTATGAAACTCATACTTTTCACTGCAGTATGTCATCTGCTGCCTGGACTCACCTTTCCTACCTCTGGTTTTCAGCAGAAGACTAACAGAAACAAATGTGCTGGCTTTTGAAGAGGTTGTCAGAGGTAAAGAGACTACAGACAAGTAGATCTACTGGGCAAGGCAGCAGATATTCCCAAAAGCTGTAATGAATGGCAGATCTGGTTCATATATGGACAAACTGTATCACAAGGGAGACTGAATCCAACTTTTGCACAGGAAAATCACAGCTCAGCAATACAGTTTCTGGAGGAATCAACAGGATATGGGGGTTGGACATTCCCTGGTCAGCTGGGAGGTGTCTCCAACAAAGCTTGAAGGGGACAAGCTGCCATAGGCTAGGGAGGATTATCCTCGCTTGGAGAAAGGAGTGGCTGAGGGAGAGAAAAAGGGAGGAAGATCACCCAGGGAGCTCCCTGTGCCAAGAGATGTCTCGTGAAACATCTCACCCACATGCAGCAGGTGCCAAAGGTGTAGCGTGAGGAGGAACACAAGACACCATGTGAATCCAGGCTGTACCCACACTTGCTCGGACGGGTGGAGGTCCAGGTCTGGTCACCCAGCCCCAGAAGGGACATGGCCTAAGGAGAGGAGGGAGAGAGAAGGGTGAGAGGCACAGCTGGGAGAAGAAGGAGACTTGTTAAAGATTTAAGAACTGGAACTGCACATAGAGGATGAAGAGAGAAGATAGTCTCCATGTCACCAACAAGCACTGCAGCCACTGACTGTGAGTGTCCGAATTGCTCCGTGCGTATCAAGGCCTGGTCCAGCACCTCCCTTGCCCCAACACCCCCCTGCTCTCTCCAGCAGCTCAGTGGGACCCAGGTGCCCGGGCTGGTCTCTGCTGCACCAACCTGGCCCCTGCCAGCCCCTCTCCCAAGCCCAAGGGAGTGCAGAGACGGGCGGTGAAGCTCCATGCAGGGAGCCGAAAGGTGCCTCAGCCCAGGAAGCCCTTAGAAACATTCAGGGAAGAAAATTCCCGTGTCATGAAATATACCACAACATCTGGCCAGGTTTGCTGGAGGGACAGGGCGGAGGCAGGTACAACCCTCTTTTCCCCCTGTCCCTGCCAGGGGCTGTGGGGTGCCATGAGCCTTGGATGAGCAACTGGTATGGGGACAGGCTTGAGGGGAGGGCTGAGGGACTGGGGGGGGCTGCGGTAGGGACCCCCTGCCTGATTTGCACAGAGGGGGCTCACAGCCAGAAAAGGACTGGAATTGCATCCTGCTCTGGGGCACTGGGAGAAAAGAGATGGACAAAAGGAGGAGTGGAAAATGCCAGTGGCAGAGATAAATGACCTCAGCGCAGCGTGGCAGGGTGATGCCTGTACACAGCAGGAAGGAAATACTTGGCTGGAACACGATGTGGAGACTCCGGGACTCCTGTCGCCAAGGGCGTTGCTGGCAGTGGGATGTTTTCATCTGCACGGAAAACAAGCCTGGAGGTAAAGCTGCGTGTGGGCCAGCTCTTGGGAGTGGCAAATGTTGAACTGTTCCAGTCCAAATTACCAGGGAGTTGGAAACACTGGGCTCCTTCCCAAGAGGGTGGAGATGACGCTGGGTTGGGAAGTCCCATTGAGGTCCCTCGTTCTGCTGCTGCTGGGATGTGTCCAGCCTGCGTGACCAGGAGGGGCAGCTTCCTAAATGTATTTTCCTGGTCCCTGGGTGGAGGAAGGAGCACCTGGGAACATCCCAGCACTGGGCGGCTGGGACACCCCTTCCTGGGGTACCCGCTGCTGCCAGGAAGCAGCAAGGCAGATCCCCAGCTGAAACGAACGCCTGGATGACTGCCAGGCTGGCCAAGGACAGGCAGGGTGGAAAGGCCAGCTGAGAGGATTTTGGAGACACTTCCTTTTCCAGGAGAGGTACAAGCCACGTCATACCCTGCCGGACCTCAGTGCCTATGAGCCAGGCCCCTGGAGATGAGGATGTGTGAGGTGCTGGGGCTTTCCCAGGGTCACAGTTTACCCTACGCAGGTTGTGGTTTCTCCCAGGTGGATTTGGGGACCTGAGCAGAGCAGGAAGGGAGGGTCAGAGTCGGATGTAAATTCAAAGCCAGACAGTCTCTGGAGACAGATGTGCACCACCACCTGACCCTGGGGTGGGCTTTGTCTGTGCCGTGCCCTGGGGCAGAGACCACACACAGCCCTGCACCATCGCTTGGGGTTTGGGTCCAGAGGGTTCACCACCCACCTTCCACCTCCACCAGCCTTGCAGCACCACGGGGCTGAGGGCTCCCAAAGCCAAGTCTTGCCCCTGCCTTGGCCCAGCCGGAACAGGATGAGCGGGGCTTCAGGGGAGTGGAACTGCAGGCACAGCAGGGCGAGCGGAAGGAGGGAGAATTGCATGGTGGCAGTGACCGCAGCCAAGTCCCATGGCCTTTCACCACCCAGCCCCTTGTGCCCACGAAATTTCCAGCCTCACTGCCCCATGGGAGGCCGCCAGAAGGGAAAATCCTGGTGGGCTCCAAAAATGCCTTCACTTGGGTGAGCTCAGCCCAGGATTGCCCCTGGCTGCTCACCATCCACAGGCCCCTGGACAACAGAAGGGACCACATTCCTGAGCACCCCAGGTTTTCTCCAGACAGCTACACCAAGCTCTGGGGTGAGTTTCTGTTTATTTGGCAAAAAGGAGGGACTGCATGCTGGAGGAGCAGGGGACGTGTCAGAGCCTTGACCACAAGCTTGGATGGCAGAGGAGCAGCCTGGAGCTTCAGAGCATGGGTCTTGCATTGCTTGGCAGCAGCATCCAACAGCCAGCCTGCACCTCCTAGAAAACAGCCAGGAGAGGTGGGATAAGTGTTTGAGGTGAGGAGACCAACAGAGACAGCCAAGCCTGGCTCCCCACTAGGTCAGGGTGTTCTCTTCCAGCTCTCCCTATCTCTGTGGGGTGAGCCATCTCCAGCAATGGATTTCTAGCTAACCCCTACAGCGGAATGTCTACTGGTGTGGTGGGAATCATGTGCCAGGGTAGGCCAGCATGGTGAGACACCAAGCCAGCCTCTGGTTGGTTTTGCCCCTCCACAGCCCCCAGATCCCTTTGGCAGAGCTGGTGAGGGGCCCTCACTGCCGGATGAGCTCCACCGCCATGTCCCACTGAACTGGTGGTTTTGGTTCAAGTGTCCTTGCTCACTGCCAGGCAGCTGCACCGCGGGGGTCCCCACTGCAGGGCAGCTCCAAAGGGAATGGTCCTACCTGGGTGCAAGCTCCAGCACAGGTTTGAACAACACGGCCCCCAGAGTAATTTGAGGAGTTCACGGTGTCCCTTGCTGGGGCACCAAGGGGGAGCATTTCCAGCTGAGGACATTGCAAGCACCGTGTGGCACTGCAGCAACTCACCTACGCTTCATCAAGGCTGCATTCCACTGTGAAAATAAAGAGAAAGGCTGAGCCCGAGGCTGTGGTCTGGCCAGTCCCATTTAGCACCCAAAATAGACACAACCCAGGAATGCACTTGAGTAAGGCGAAAGCCATGATGTACCAAGCCCGAGTGCTTTCTCCTGCCAGCTCAGACCGCAAAGTGGGGATAGTGATGGGCTGAGCTGATCCCTGCCAGTGTGTTCTGGCTCCCCGGATCCACCAAGCCAGCCTGATGCTGTGCTGGGCAGTGCTCACCCTGGCTGGGCAGCATCCTGATCATCTCGTCAGTGAAGCTCTTCTCCCTCGCAATCTTCTTGAACAATCCGGTGATCTGGGGGCTCACCTCCCGTGTCCTGCCTATAGGCAAAGACATGAGTCAGCTCCAGGCTGTGGCCTATCCCTGCATCTCCGGGCAGCTGGCAAGCACACCCAGGTGAAGATGGGAGGGATGACAGTCCCTGCGAGAAGTCTGGAAGCAGTGGTGGAAATCCTTGAGGGCAGTGGTGGCCAGGCACATGAGACAACCTCCCCAGGGGACAAGGTGAAGTGGAGGTCCTGGCATCAGCACAGGTCTCCTCTCTTGGTTCCCACTGCCACTGTTCCTGGCACCCTTTGAGCAGGACCCCTGCTCTTCACCCATTTCATCAAGCAACTTACCCAAGTCCATGGACTCCCAGTACAGCACAGAAGCCAAAAGCCTCCGTGCCAGTCCCCAAACCCTGCCCCTTCCCCTGTACACAGGGAACGTGGCAGCCCCAGCCCTATTTCTGCACCCCACCGAGGGCAAGAGGTCCCAGCAGGAGGCCAGCAGTGAGGAGGGGTCTATCCCACAGGCCCTTGGCCTCTTGGGACACAGCAAAGCACCCCAACGCCTCCGAGCCATTCACCCCGGTCAGACTGCCACTGGCTACGCACTGTAGAGCCTCAGCATGTGCAAGGTCTTCCCATCCTTCACTCGGGAGGCAAAGACGACTGCGTACGTCTCGTTGTCGGTATCCACCACCTGCACTGTTTTATTGCCTCGCTCTGCAAAAAGACATGGAGGAAAGCAAAAAATTGATCAGCTCCCCCTGAGAGCTCCCCCACTGCAAAAGGGCTGTAAGAGCATGGAGCCCCGCGCAGAATGCCAAGGTCCACCCAGCCTGTATTTCTTGTGCCTCCCCTTCCCAGTTCTTCCTCTTGCTAAGGCTCCTCTGAAAGCCTGGGGGAGCCCACAGATCACAGCAGATCAGAGGGATGAGAACTGAACACGGGAGGGTTTGGGGATGGCCACTGCGGACAACGGAGTAGCCCAGCCGGTGTCAGACCCTGGGGCTGGGGATGGTGGGAAACCACTCTTGCTCCGTCCCTTGGGAACATCCATCCACAGCCCCATCTGCAGAATGGTTTAAGCTCAGTCTGAATCTGTCTGTCTTATCCCAGAGCAGCTTCCCAAAGGGAGGGAGTGGGGGGTCCACCATGCTGGGAGCCACCAGCCCTGGCATGGGCCAGCCTTGGGCTGCGGTTGATGACTGGCCACAGAGGGATGTCCCACCCCAGGGCCTTGGGAGAGGCAGACAGCCACCCCTGAGGGACATGTCCCCAAGGACAACCACTTGCTTCAGACAGGGATGATGGAAAGTGCCCCCCTGTCCCGGGGGCCTGGCTGCCCCCACTCACCGGAGCTGTAGTATTCACCCAGGATGCCTGTTTGCTTGTAGATCCACTCTGATTTCTTACATCCCTCGGGGCTGCAAAACAGCGAAGGATGCTCCGGCTGGGGTGAAGTGACCCCCCTTCCCCTCCCCTGGGTATGCTGCCTCCAGAGTCACTACCCCAAACGTGGGACTTGCTGTTCAGGAATGAGATGGTGTGGCCAGGGCAGGGGGTGACAGGTGCCCTTGAGGCAACGGGTGTCTGGGTTGGCAAAGTGCTGGCACCCGAGGATCGCCCATGGGTCGACATGCTCTGAGCCGGTGGGATGAAGCCAGTCCTGCTGGGAAAGCTTTCATCATAGGGTGCCTTTCATCCTGCTGCATCCCTGCTGGGGTGCCTCAGCCTCCCCAGTGGGACCACGCCTGGCTGGTGCTGCCCTCAGCCTGCCCTGAAGAAGGGGTCCCCATGACCCCTGCTGCTCTCTCAAGGCCCTGGTTCAAACCTCAGGGATGATGGACTTGCCTCCCATCACCCAGGTCTTTGGAGGGTGCTAGGTGGAGGCACCCAGGTGAAGGCCCAGGGAGGAGGTCAGTCAGCAAAGCCCATGGAGAAAAGTGCTTGGCACTTACGTGGGAATGGCAAAGGAGACCTTCAGGTCACCTTCCCCCAGGACTGTGATGGTGGCCATTGCCATCTTCAGCTCGTCCTTCCTTCGGAGGTAGCTATCGGAGTCGGAGGCCATAGCAACGATGTACAATTTCCCTGCAATCTGGCAGCAAGGGTGGGCTCTGAGTCCAGAGGAGCAGGCAGGAGCTCTCCCCCCTCAGGCACTGAGCCAGGACACTTTCAGGCCATGGGATACTCGTGTCCCCTCTAGGCACCAAAATCCCCAGGGAGGCACCTACGCTGGAGCTGGGGAAATGTCCTCAGCTGGGTGTGACAGTGGCATCCCCTTCTGTCCCCAGGGCCAAAACACCTCTCCAGTCCCCACCCTGGTGACCGGTGGTCACGCTCCCCCCTTCCCTTCGCCGGGGTGCTGCAGATCACCTTGCTCTTGTCCAGCGCCGCGGCCCTGCGGTGCTCAGCCTCCGCGCACAGCAAGCAGAGCAGGATCAGCCCCAGGCTCAGCCCCACCGGCCTCATCTCGCTGCAGCTTCCTCCGGCCTCGCCAGCAGGATGGAGAGCGGTGCCAGGGCTGCTGGCTTTATAGCGCTTTGCTTCCCCCTCCGCCCAACGCGGGTGCTGCGTGCCGGGCTGCACGGTAATGCCGCGGGTGTGGGCCACGCAAGGTGTCCAAAGGGCTGGTCACCCCAGGGTGAACAGTGTCGGTTCTCACGGAAGAAAGGAAGTGCCTGCAAGCCCCGGGCAGGGCTGAGAAGTAGGATTGCAGGACGTGGTACAGTGTCGAAATTCAGGATTTTCACGGTTTCTCTAGTCGC